TCTCCCTTTGATGCTGCTGCTGACTATGTAGTATTGTTATGATGTCTGCTTTTATGTGTTGTTTTATCTATATTTTAAATTGTTCTAGTTTAATAATCTTTTAAGGGGCAGGGGTTGTAACTGGATGTATTTATCAATGTTTTTATTGTTGTAAGCTACCCGATTGCATTGCAGAGGGGCGGGATAGAAATTATTATTATTATTATTATTATTATTATTATTATTATTATTATTATTATTAATGGTGATCAGAGCCGCGTAAACTTTTCCAAATGTGGTCACACCACAGATTTGTATATAGGTATAACAAATAACAAAAGTTTTATTGTCAATCCCTTTCCTCATGATCCATAAGAATGACATGTTCCATTTATGTGTTGTATGTAGAGCAGTTAATGTTTCTGTTGCCCACATGCCCTGCTATGGGCCTTTCATTAACATCTAGTTGGCCACTGTTGGTTGGAACAGAATGCCAGATTAGATGGATGGATCCAGCAAAACTCTTCTTATATATTTTGATTCTTGTGCTCAATAGAAATTAAACTTCTTTGGACATGTGGGCACATTTTTCAAGTAAATATGTTCAGAAGGGAGTGCACTGCACATGAGTTATTTATTTACAAGTGGTATTTGTACATTAGTTTCTTGGTGTGATAGATTTATTTGTATCAATACATAATTGTATTACTTGATAAACAAAGGAATTCTCTGAAATTGTGGCCCTATCTATTTATTTATTTTGAGCAAGTTTTTGAATATACTAGGCTATCCCCCATCAACATTGCCATCTTACTTGAAATGAGTTTCAATTTATTGACCCTGCTCCATCCCATTACTGCTTCTAAGTAATCATTCTGGGATTCCTCTGCCTCACTGGGATTGGAGAAAAGAAACAGATATAACTGAACACAGTTAGCATGCTAAAGAGGACCCTCCCAGAAATGCAACCTGAAACTCTTATCACAAAGATTCAGCAATGTGTTATTAGCCATTTTATTTATTTGTTGATTTTCAAGTACATCCCACTTTTCTGCATGTTACAGCTTATATAAAGTAGTTGAATAAGATCAAGAGACAATCACACCAGCAATTCATGATGCTTGTGATGATGGTAGTGATGATAGTACTAGTAGCAATAGCAGCAGCAGCAGTAATAAAAACATTAACAGCAGATCTAAATTACTATACATTTCATCCAAACTATTTTTGCCTGAGAAAACCCCATGAAATTCATGGGGTCACCATAATTCAACAGGCGACTTGAAGGCACACACACATACATGTTCCATTCAGTTAGCTTATATTATGCTACACACTTAGACTGCAGTGAATAACTTTGTGATGAAAGAGCTATATTGCTGACATGACATACAACCATATTGGAAGATTGCAAGGATGTGCAATGGGACACTGGGCAAGATGTCCCCATTACACAACAGGGGCCCCCATTGTACAACAAGGAATTGCAAAAGGTGGGGACATTTTTCAGGCTGAATGTAGGGCACCCATGACTTTCCATTGCCCTCTGTTTGGAATTACCAGTATCCCGTGGTTGTTGGAGGCTATAACCCTCTCTTTGCATTGTTGTTGCACAAGAACAGCCTGTCCCACAAAGCACCACACTCTTGCACAATGCAACTGTCATACAACAGCCATGTTCTTTGCTATGTTTGTGCAGTGGCTTGGCGGGGGTTTACCATTGTCTCCTTCTGAAGCTGAGATTGTGTGACTTGCCTGAGGCTACCCAGTGGGTTTCCATGGCCAAGTGGGGATTTGAACTCTAGTCCCTAGTGTCATAGTCCAGCACTCAAACCACTATGCCACTCTGGGTCTATGTGTGAGTACATAGATAGATAGATAGATAGATAGATAGATAGATAGATAGATAATTTAAAAATTGATGCTCCACCTCTTTATAATACCAAGATCATGCACACCAATAGACTTTCCCACCTTTCCTTTCACTGAATATTATTGCCATTCAGATGTGGCTCTAATGCTCCACACAAAGAAAACAACCCAGTTTCAGAAAGTCTAGAAAAATCCTCAAATAGGCCAAGGTTGTCAAAATGTAACCTAAACAGGTAATATACACAATGGGGGAAGGCACAGATCAGCTAAACTTCTACAGAAAGTACTGTTGAAGTAATGGTGGGGTGGCCTTAACTTGTTCCCTATTCTAGATTCTTGTTCTTTGCAGAGTATATTAAACACCTATAACTAAATCCCTAAAGCTGAGAACAGAGAGTCTTAAAATTATGAAGGTTACACTGAATCCATAGAAGTAATGGGTATTTTATTAAAAAAAATAAGGAACAACCGAGGTGGATGAGAAAATAACACATTTTCTCACTATATATCCTGACAGTCTCCATTTTTCTAATTCACATGGCTTTAAAATTCATGAAAAACTTTCTGCTTCCTGTCAAATGGTCTTGGCAACTTCTAGCCATTGATTCTGATCTGTAATAAAGCTGTATAAAGTTCATTAGATATTCATATGATAGTGAGAACGGGTTTTGTGGCAAAGGAGCACTGACAACTCACAGACAGCAACCACCGATCAGGCGAACCGTATTGGTATGCACTTATAAAATTACTTATTCATAATACAGGCATGGAATACAATGAAAAATAAGGTACATTATGTTAGAAAGCATTTTATTGTCTCCTTCTGTATCTCATTTTATGCCTAAACTCGTAAATGGATTTCTTTCTAATGACATAGCCGTGTTATTATCAAAGTGCATATTGTACTGCCCAAGATGAAAGCAGGGTGTTTGGAAATCCAATTACAAATTCTTTCAATCAAAAAAAAAAACTACTGTCAAAGCATTTGAACATTCCTTTAACCCAAAAGGGTAAAAATTACAGGTAAAACGTGAGTTTAATGTGGAGTTTCCTTTCTTTTCTTTTCTTTTTTTTTTCCTTTTTCTTTTTCCTCCCACCTTTCAATTTATCTGTTAATTCCATTTGAAAAACAGTTAGGACCTTTGCTAGCTGATTCCCAACATGGCATTATAGTTCAACACTGGGAAATTCTGTCAGCATTTTACATGGGATGTCTTTGAATAGACACTGTAACACCAATGAGCTTTCTTCAAATTAAAACAGATAACTTGTCACCCTGTCTCCTGTATTTTATATTGTCAAAGAGAGAAAAGCAACTTAATAATTTTCTCCCATTCCAATGCAATGCAATAAAATCATTACTGAAAATAATTCATTTGTACAATATATGTGTGATGTTGCCAACAGTCAGCACTCTTCTCCAGCACCACATCTCAAATGAATTCATTTTATTTCTATCATTTTTCTTAACTGTCCAGTTCTCACATCCATACATAGTAATAGGGAATATGATGGCTTGTATGATTCTTACTTTTGTGCTGAGTTGTGTATCTGCATTTTAGAATCTTTTCTAGTTCTTTCATAGCCACCCTCCCCATTCTTAATCTTATTCTGATTTCCTGACTGCAGTCTCTATTCCTATCAATGTTTCATCCCAAGTATGGGAATTATTTTACTATTTCTATTTCTTAATTGTCTAGGTTGAACTTGTGAAGGTCCTCGGAGGTCATTATTTTTGTTTTCTTTATGTTCAGCATTAAGCCTGCCTTTGCACTTTCTGCTTTGATCTTCCTTAGTAGGTGTTCCAGGTCTGTGAGGTTTTCTGCTACTGCTATGGTGTCATCTGCATATTGTTGATATTCCTTTTTTCTATTTTCATTCCACCTTCTTCTTTGTTCAAGCCTGCTTTTCTTATAATATGTTCTGCATACAAGTTGAATGGATATGGTGAAAGGATGCAGCCTTGTCTAACCCCTTTGCCCATTGGGAACCATTCTGTTTCTCCATGTCCTGTTCTGACAGTAGCCTCTTGTCCTGAATACAGACCTTATCAGATCTGTTGGCACTCCCATGTCTTTAAGGGCATTCCATAGCCTTTCATGATCTATGCAGAAAAAGGGTTTGCTATAGTCTATAAAGCACATGCTGATTTTCTTTTGAAATTTCCTGGTGCCTCCATTAGCCATCATATGTTTGCAATGTGGTCACTAGTGCCTCTTCCTTTCCTGAACCTCACTTGAACCTCTGGTATTTCTCTCTCCATCTATGGTTGGAGTCTATGTTGTTGAATTTTGAGCATGATTTTGCTTGTGTGGGAGATCAGTATTATGGTCCTATAGTTGCTGCAGTCTCCTGTGTCTCCCTTTTAGTGGATGGGGATGTATATTGATTGCTTCCAATCTATTGGCAATTGTTTTGTTTTCCATATCTGTTGACATATGTTGGTTAGCACTACAGTTGACTCTGTCAATGTGGATTGCAGCAGTTCAGTTGGAACATCATCTGTTCCTGGTGATTTTTTTCCCCACTATTTCTCTTACTGGAGTATCCACCTCACTTTTTAGAATTTGGGGTTCATCTTCATATGGCTCTTCATTCCATGTGTCCTTCATTTTGTCACCTCTTTTGTATAATTCTTCTGTGTATTGCATCCAACATCTTTTTATTCCTTCCTGGTCTTGAATTATGTTATTTTTATTGTCATAGATCATCCCAGCCCTTGATTTTATTTTTTCTTTAATTTCCCATATCTTGTGAAATAGATCTCTTGTTCTTCCCTTTTTGTTGTTGCCTTCTATTTCTCTGCATTTGTCATTGTAGTATTTCTCTTCATATTTCCACACAAGTCATTTTACAGTTGCATTCATAATTCTTAGTTTGTTCCTATCTCCCTTTTGGTTTTCTTCTCTTATGTAAATCCAGTTGATTCAATGAATTTACTCTAGCTGAAACTCTAATTTGAATTTAGGCTGCTGTGATGGTCTTGATCTACAAAAAGTTAAAAGATCTGGGATGATGGTATCTTTAATGGTTCTCCTATTTTAATAGATTAGGTGGTATTTTAGAATCCTAAGTCATCAGACTAGACTTTTAATCTGATGTTTTATATGTTATTTTTTGTTACTGGTTTTATTGTTATTTAAAAAATCTTAATTGCCATGAGGCTTACACAAAATGTGGGATGTATAGTGCTGTATTAAAGGCAGGTCACCATTTAGGCAACAGCAGAAACTCACATGCCTGAGAGGAGTAATCTTCCCATCCTATGTTATCCCCTTCATCATTTCAAAAAGTAGGGGTAATTTAAGTTTCCCAAGGCTTTAGTCTTTAGTAAGGAAACAAAAACATTTAGATATGAAAATATGAAAGCCAAGCCTATGAGAGTCTGGCTTTAAAGTAGCAGAGTAGCAGAAATGTGACTCTGCCTAACTATGGGCCATGGCAGACTGGCCCAAAGGGGTAGAGGTGGGGTGGGGCACCTACACGTTGGCCACCCCAACCCCACCCTGACGTCATCCTGATGCTGCACACCATTACGCACTGTGCTGAAAGGGCGTGGAAGAGCCGCGGTGCCAGCTCTTAGGGTGGCATTTTGCCACCCCTAAAAGGAGTGGCATTTTGCCGCTCTTTTAGGAGCAGCAAAAGGAAGGATCAGGGCCTTGGCAGAGGGTTGCTGTGGCCCCAATCGTCCGCTCCCCGGGACGGCTCTCTGCTGCCCCAAACAGGCCATGTACATCAGCCCTATGCTTCCCTAAGAACTAAGACTTACTCAAAAAAACAACAAACACGTAGTTTGTCATTTAAAACAATAACTTAAATCTATATTTACATAAAAAGCCTAAATCCTAATCTTACTAGTGATGTTTCAGGTAAAGAGGGAAAATCTCACCATCTTTAAGAGAGCAGGAAGATAGCAACAGCTCAGTTGAGAATCTTGAGAGAAAAGACTGTTAATCTCAAAGGGGCTGTACAGACCGCCCTAAAGGAACAGCTCTGTGGTGCCCCTTTGCTTGCCGGATTGGAACCATGACAACCACATGCCACATCCCAATCCATCACTCTGCCAGCTCTAAAAAGAAACGGCAAAATACCTCTCCTTTTTAGAATGGCAAAAAGCCACCCTTACTGCCACTGTGGCATTTTTCTCTGCTTCTTTTGGCATTCTGTGAGTGGTTGCTGTACCAAAGAAGTACCATAACACCACCTGCCATGCAATTGGGCAGGCAGCATAACGCTGGTCGGAGATGGAGCCAAGCCCCCACTCCACCTTGATGCCAGCCCCTTCAGCCAGTCTGTAAAGTCCCCAAAGAGGGAGTGACCTAAGTCACATGGTTAGTTTGAATAAGAGAGAGAGAGAAGGGAGTAATATGCAAGCAAGAATCCCTATCTGAGGATAGGGAAGGAGAATGCAAAAATCTTCCAACAAAAAGCCTGTTCAAGAGGACTGGAAGACTCTCGAGAGATATTTTAGGAGCTCCACAGACTGCAAGGAAAGAATCTCTATGATGTGTGTAAACATCATCTTGGATTTTTCTCATACACTTCTGAAATGAATAGTAAAGTGCTTACAGATAAACATACTGAGGATTGATTGTAGGTAGTCCTCATGGATAAATCATTTTAAATTTTATTTGGCATTTTCTCCAGCTGTTTAATGTATAAACAAGCATCATCTTTTTAAAAGAAGTCATTCTAGACTTTAGGAGAGCCGATTTCAATAAACTTAGGGAAACACTGGGAGTGATCCCATGGTCAGGAATACAAAAGAAGAAGGGAGTTCAGGATGGATGAGAGTTTCTCAAAAGGGAGATACTGAAGGCCCAATCTCAAACTGTTCTAATGAGAAGGAAAAATGGGAGATGTTTCAAGAAACCAAGTTGAATGACAAAAGAACTTTCAACTGAACTAAGTTTTAAACAGAAGATTTATAAGAAATGGAAAAAGGGCAAAATCACTGTGCAGAGAAGATGGAGAAAGTCTA